AAAAAAAAAAAAAAATCTTGAGCTCAAGCGATTCTCTTGTCTCAGCCTCCCGAATAGCAGGGTCTACAGGCGTCTGCCACAATGCCCAGCTAATTTTAAAGACAAGGTCTCTCTTGCTCAGGCTGGTCTGGAACCTGTGAGCTCAAGCAATCCACCCGCCTCAGCCTCCCAGAGTGCTAGGATTATAGGCGTGAGCCACCATGCCCAGCTCTACAACTTCTTTTTGAGAATGAGGATTGCACCCTTGTAAGGTTGCACATGACTTGCCCAAAGTGAGACATAAGCTAGGGAAGTATTGGAAATGGGTACACTGGCTGGGTGGAGAAGAATCTTCTCCGAATCCGTGGTGGTAGTATTAAGCAACAACAGACAGACCTTCAGAAATGAACATCTGACTTATCCAAATGATGCACCCATTAGTGATGCCCACATTAGGTTGCCCCCACCTGAGCTGTGGCAGGGAAAACACTTTGGAATCTCAATGTTTATGTGTGTACCCATTAGAATTATCAAACCTAAATGTCAAGTCCAGAAGTAACCATGAATTGGGCTAGGGCAGGGCAATAGGAAATACCAAGGACCGGAAATTGCTTTCAGTAACCTCTGCTATTAGAGACTAGAACACAGCTGTAATGCCAAATGGAACCAGGAACCAGGATAATGGAACATAGAGATAGGAAACCCGGGGCAGATCAATCCATCACTGGGTCAGGACTTCCTACATTCTTTCTGCCTGTGTGTCTCCAGAATGGGGTAGGCCTAGTCTATGGCCAAGAGAATTAAGCATGGACACCTAGAAAAATTGGAGACCTATTAAGGAAGAGACTCCTGAAATTCAGAGCTCAATTTTCAGAGCCCAGAGCAGGTGTTCCTAGTCACTGACACAGAGATCTTCCCCTTCAGCGACAAGGGTTGTGATCCCTTGAGGGAACTGAGAGTGCCAAACTACAGCATAGAATTAGAGACGTACTTGGTTTCCATACATATATATACATCTGCTGCAACTGAAGAGGTCAGTCAGTAGAACTGGGAGATTGGGCTCTTTCTCAGATAAGCCAGCCTCAAGCATCCCTCCCTCTTACCTCTTCCCCAGAGGGTGGCTTCTGAGCCACTCTTTTTTTTTTTTTTTTT